TGTCTTTAAATGTTTGATGATTTTAGTATTAATATTAATTCTTTGCAAAAATATAATATTCTTCCAAGTGTCTATTATCTATTACGTTTTATAAACTCCTGAAAGAGTTTCGAAAAATGGTAAAATTAGACCTCCAACAGCGTTACGTATTATCTTCTCTTTAATTGCAAAATATTGTTCTCGATTAGCGCAAAGTTCAAAGCAATGTGCTTAGACCTCTAGAAATCGCTAGGACTACGTGATTGAAAAACTTTATGGGAAGATTCCATAACTCTTAAATGAAATAATGACACGTCTCGACTAAATTCTTTCGTTTCGTCACTACGGCGACCTAGTAAAAAGTAGCACTTTATTGCAATGCTACATTGCACTTCTGCCGTTAGGAAATAACGACCATGAAGGAGAAAATTCAATGTCTAATTGAAAACTCGCGTGTGTGCACAGTCATCAAACATCGAACGATAAGGGTTAATAATTCTAACCCAATTTTTACTCGCCGTCAGTATTAATCTAGCCTGATGGGTTTCTGATTGATAGATTTGTACAAAAATAATGAGATAACCAACTCCACTGCTTACATTCGTGTTCAATGTACCTGTATTCGAAGAATAGAAATATTTATTGGGAGGCAGGATGTCGAACGAGCATCTTTTTCAGTCACTTAATTGTCAATTTCCGTTGTTGCGCGTATGCAAGGTATTAAACGATTAGATGATTTATTCATACCTAGATCCAGATTGTATAATTATACAATTACGGTGACAATTTGACCAAATTATACAGAGTAGTTAATTACCTGCTGTTGAGATTCTACAATGAAAAGTGTGACAAAATAAGTGAATTGCAAAATATTGCAAGAATATTCTTCGAAAATATTAAAGAAAAGTATGATAAACTAATCAAACAATTTTAAGTACAGAAATAGAACGTGTCTAAAGATCACAATTTGCATTAAAGAAACCCAATACAATGTATTTACGGTACAATTTTCAAAATCATATATAAAAAGACTGATTGAGATTGTATTTATTATTATTAGTGTTTAATCCTCTCCGAAACACAGGTCGGACTTTCTTACGAAGGAAAGAGGGACGATGAATAATATTTACATTCTCGAATACCTTGAGGAAAAACAAATGACAAAAAATAATAGTAAACTATACTACTACTTTATTGATTTGAAAGTGGCATCTGACAAGGTCGGCATGAAAGTGATATGGGGGACTTTAAGAAAAATGAAGGTTAGCAGTATACAAATTGGAAGAATAAAAGAAATATTATACACTTAGGCCAACTTTTCTTATAGTACTAATTTTGGATATACAAAAAGAGCTATAAAGAAGATCAACGGAGGAATCAATGTAAAAGAAGAAACAAATGTATGTATAAGCTGGCACCATAGTGGTGAGAAAGAAATGATATCTCAACACAAGAATACGGGAATAGGAAGAAAAGGACTCGTAAACTGATGCAAGCTCTGTATAAGTTTGTGTAAAAAATGTATCGAGTATCCGTAAAATATACATATGTATGTAGTTCGATTTAAACGTCAATAGAAGTGGAAAGCGTGAGTAATGTACATACGCATCAGCCAAATCATATTACTCGCCTACTCGATACACTTTTAAGCTCGATTCTTTTCAAAGTTTTCTTCGAAAATCCTCTGTTGTATCACGAATACTGAAACACCCTGTATAAGCATCTGTTTTATTTGGCTTACTGACTGAGTTATAACCATTTTTGTACCCCATTAATATGCAAATACATGCGTTAGTAAAAAGGAGCTCGAAATGCAAATCTGCAGACGTCGTGTCATAGAGTTTCTCAATTGTTGCGCATAAACTACAGGCAACGTATATACAATAAATTGTACAACTTTAAACTCGTTACTGTCGATCTGTGCGCGTATGGGTGCTCTGCATTACAATATTTACGGTTAAATGAGAGTTGAATGTATTATAGAAGCATGTGTGCTCTAACATCGCAAGAAGATCGTGTTTCTTCGCATTGAGTATTCGTGTTTCTGTTCTGCTCTGACGATCTCGTAATTAGCTTATCAAAATGCTGGTCGTAATTTTCCTGTGTAGCGATTATACATAGGAATTCCTGATAATTCCATCGACTGACAAAGATTTTTCATCGGCAGGGGAAAAATGGAGAGGATTCAAAAAATTCGACAATGGTATAATCGCCACATGTTGTTATCAAGACCTTGATTAACTGTTGATGCATCGGTCATGTTTAAAACTCGATCGTATTCGCACGCAATACGATTCTCTTACTCTTGTAATTGGTCAATATTGACCCCCACGTATCTTCTTTCTTTTTTATCACTTAAACGTGTAATTCTTTGTCTCATAAAATCTGCCATTTCCAGTTCCAAAGATTGCGTCTTCAAAGCACATAATTCATACAATTGACTACTCAAAAGATTGATATAAGGTTCCGAGTTTCTCCGCACTCGTATTTTTCTCCATGCTTATTTCTTCTTAGGCCGGGGGCACACGAGCGTTAAAACGACGTGCGTTGCGATGGGCGTAAATTTTAACGACCGTTACAACTCTAGTCACACACGCGTTGCTACTTTTGCTTCAGTTGGCCAAGAAACGGCAGAAAATTTTGTAATAAAGACAGACATATTTAATTCCACGCTGCAGATTTTTTATTTCTGTCTTTGTAGTCCTCGTTAGAGATGTTCCATAATAACTCTCTTTTTTGGACTTCATTGATTAACAATTCTATATGAACCGTATTACCGGATCCATTTTTGCGTAAGGTATGAAATATAAAGAAATAAGGCTGAATATAGAATTGTCTATGTATCACGATAGCCACCTAATAAACAACTGACGTTACGATCGATGTTCGATGCTCGTACGACCTGCTGCATTTCTCGGTATACAAGGTGTTCGACCACCCCTGGGAAAAATTTTAATGCGAGATTTTAGAGGCCAAAATAAGACGAAAATCAAGAATATCAATTTCTTGACTGAGGCTTCATTATTAAAAAATTGAATTAAAAAATTTCAAATTATTCTGAAAAAATTATTTTTGGTTGCGGGGCTCAATTACAATCATTTTCGGTGAATACACATACTCCTGAAATCCTACCCACTTTCGAGAAGAAAATTCGAGTAGGTACTGAAATAGACGAAATTAAAAAATTTCAAATCATACTAAAAAAAATGAATTTAGTTACAAGGGTCAATTACAAGCATTTTTGGTGAATAGACATACCCCGAAATCCTACCCACTTTCGAGAAAAAATTCAAGAATGTGTGAAATTTTTCGATAAAATTAAAAAAATTCAAATCGTTCTGGGAAAATTATTTTCGGTTGCGGGGGTCAATTACAATAATTTTTGGTAAATAGATCTACCTCCAAAATCCTACCCACTTTGTAGAAAAAAATTCAGTACAGTGTAACTTTAAACGTTAATGACTTTTTAACGAAGCCTCCATCAACAAATTAGTATTTTTGATTTTCCTCTTATTTTGGACTCTAGAATCTCCCGTTAAAATTTTACCCATGGATGGCCGAACACCCTGTATGATGGAAAACGTGCGTTCTAGTATACGACAATGTATTTCTACACCGCACGTTGTAACGTCCGTCGCAACGCACGTCGTTTTAACGTTCGTGTGCCCCCAGCCTTTTTTCTTTATTATTTACATGACTTCCAAACTTTTAAAAGGACGAAAACAAAAAATAGAAGTTTTCGGTATAATAAAAAGGTATAATATATTGAAGCTAATATGGCGATGAAAATGAAAGTTAAACTTCTTTTTGATTATAAAAGCAATTCAGAAATTTTGCAGTGGATCCAGAAACGTGTTTGAGTATACACTTATAGTATAAATAAATAATTAATGTGAATGTAATTATTTAGGTTACAATCGAATGGAATATTAATAAAAATATGTATACTTTTACATATTTAACCCTCCCAAAATAACATTTCTTCGGGAACTTCTAAACGTCTGACAACAATTTAATGCCTGCTACGTTCAATCGAAAGAATCATGGGCAAATGTATGATCGAATGTATGTTTCTCAAAACGATTCAATGGTTGTTCATGGTAGGTATAACCAGGCATAATTTGTGAAGTGCATCTTTATGTAACGCGTGTATCGAAACATTACACATGCATATGTATGCGGTTGACGGGAATGTTGATTTAAAGCGTATGAGTCCTCTCGTCGTACATTTAGCCGGTAAATGCACAACCAATTACAGCAGCGTCAATGAACTTTCCCAGACAATAAAAATGTCGGAAGTTCAAGAACCGATCTGTTTACATTTATTAGAGAAACGATAGAATCTTTATCTAGATGCTGTATAATATGAAGATGAAATAATAAAATTGCCCACAAGAAGATACGAACATGACTAATGGTCTTGAAACAAATAGTCCCCTTCGATACTTCGCGATAACAAGTAAATGCCAATTAAGTGTAGTACATACTGTGCTCCGCTCACTTGAAGTCCCGCGGAAAGAATGCGGGAGAAGTAGAAGGGACACACGTATTCCCACGCACACATTGGTCTCTAGCTCGCTATTCGTCGCGGCAGTTACACACACATGTGGACTGCCTGAGAGCAAGGGAGCGAGACAGATAAATGGGCGGTCCGACTCCCCTTGCCCCTGTGCCGTCTCGCGGGACTTCAAGTCAGCGGACCACAGTACTTGGTACAATATAATGAAGAAGCTTAGTAGTATGACGATTCGAAGATAGAACAACGTAACTAATGATTAGCATAAAGTATTACATTACAGATTTTTGTATAATATTCGCCAGATTTTGAACATTAGGAACAACAACACACTTCTAAAAAAAAGAATAATTTCTACGCTTGAAACGTATAGACAAAACATTTTTAAATATTAAGTTTAACCTAGCAATTATATTGTGTTCTTGAACATTTATTCACTGAGTTAATTTTGTAGAATGTAAAAAATCCTAAACTTTGAACGAACGATCTTTGTATTCTGTTTCAGAGTATCACAAACGTAATGAAGGATTCCGCGTACCTGACTAGATTCGGTTTAAATATGCTGATCCTTCATACGGACACCCAACCTTTAGTTAAAATGACCGCTCGAGAATTTATGTTTGGCTACGAATCCTCCCTCGTCACCCTTGGCAATAAGATGATGCCAAGTTGGATCAAGTTCGACAAGTTGGGTCTCATCGATAGAGTGAGTGTCAATTTTAATGTAATTTTTACTTTAATAAATATAATATCTTCATATTAAATCGATATATTATCCGAAATAGTATCGAGTTAACGCAAATGATCTTAGACGTTATTCTTGTAAGCTGTAACCTTGAAATTATTCGTCTTTTTGCTCGCAGATGTACGATTTTGAAGGTGATTACGAAACCGTTTACACTGGAGAAACCGATGTCCGTCGAACAGGCCTAATTGAAAAGTACAACGGCAACGTAAATCTGCCGCAATGGACAGGAAAGTGCGCGAACGTGAATGGTGCAAGCGACGGAGTCAAGTTCCCAAGTTACATCGAACCAAATGACACTATACTTTTCTTCAGGAAAAGTCTCTGTCGCAGTGCTTACATGGTACGTTGGTCTTTGATACTTGCTGAGGGTTACTAGCGTACTCGAAACATTTCAGTGCACCGAGCGCAAACATCGGAATTCGAGTAACGCGACAAAACATTCGATTTGTTAGAAGAATTCAAATCGTTGGAAATATTTTTTACACCACAATTTCTTCTACAAAGTAATTGCATTGTAATTATATGGTAATTGTACGGTTTAATGATTTATGACTATGATTACATAGTAATTATACGATAATTACCGTGTGATCACAGTGTCATTTTTTTATATTGGTTGGCCAAAAAATTTGTGCAGATTATTATAAATGAAAATTCATTATCAAATGTGTTGGATTTCTTTATTGTAATTTGTACATCGCACCTCGCTTACAAAAACGCTTCTCCTCTTTTTTTCCCGATCGCGCACACCTTTTGTTTCTTCTCACCAATCATACCCACTCATCATTCATACCAACTCATCATTCATACCAACCCAGCAAAAGCTAGATATTTTCACACCCTTCCTCAATTCAAATCGCAACGATGAGAATTGCTAATCAAGCATTTGCAAGTTGTCTCTATGTTTTATAAACAGCTTTGACACCAGTGATTTTGTTAATATGTCCGCAGTGTTTTTGTTTGTCTCTATATAATCTAAAATTATGAAACCCCTATTAACTAAATCCTTGATATAATGATACTTAATATCTATGTGCTTGCTCCGCTTGCTGTTTTCGTAGTTCCTTGCAATATTGATCGCTCCTTGATTGTCGACAAGCAGTGTTGCATCTATTTCCTTTTTGCACATCTCTACAGCAATTCCTTTTAATGATATTAGCTCGGCAGAGATTAGAGCAGCAGCAACATATTCGGCTTCTGTCGATGACAGGGCAACGCTTTGCTGCTTTCTTGATATCCAATGTATCAAATGGTTATTGAAGAAAATTGCCCCTCCTGTTGTACTTTTTCTGTCTATTATATCTCCTCCCCAGTCGGAGTCTGAAAAGGCAACTAGACTGTATGAGTTAGTTTTTACATACCTTAAGCATTTATTCTTCGTTCCTTTCAGATATCTGAGTATTCTCTTTGCAGCATTCCATGTAGTTTGACTCGGTTTGTCAAGAAACCTGCTCAGATATGACACTGCAAATGTAATATCAGGCCTTGAACCCATTGAAATGTACATTAGACCTCCTATTAACTCTCGGTAAGGTACATTTTCTGCGCATTCGTTCCCTTCTGCTCGAAAGTTTGCTTCCATAGGAGTTGAGGCCTCCTTGCATTGCTCCATTCCGAAGTTTGTCAACATTTTGTTGATTAGAGTTTCTTGAGAGATCTTGATTGTATTTTCATCTCTAAATATTTGCATTCCGAGAAAATTTTTGATTTCTCCCAAATCTTTTGTGTGAAATTCTAATTTCAATGGCTGTATTATCTGATTGATTGCTGTTCCCGTTATCAATATGTCGTCTACATATACCAACATTATTGTTCTGCCTTTTGTGTACAGACAGAAGTCACTTTTGGATCTGTTGAATCCGTGTTTAATGGCAAAGTCATTAAACGTCTTGTTCCAGCATTTTGGTGCTTCTTTGAGACCGTACAATGCTCTTTTAAGTTTGAGCACCGTTCCTTTCTCTTCGTTTAAACCTTGAGGTGGTTTGATATATACCTCCGATTGAAGTCGTCCATTTAGAAATGCTGTTGGTATATCCATTTGATTTATTTTCCAGCCATTTTGTAGAGCGATCGAAAACAGCATCCTCACTGTCGAGAGTCTAGCTACCGGTGCGTACATAGACTCCTCTTCATGTAGTTGGTATCCTTTAGCGACCAACCTTGCCTTTTTGATACCTTGTTCTTTGGTTCTGAATATCCACTTTGTATCGATAGCTTGAACTCCTTTGGGCAGCATTGTTTTTTCCCAAGTTCCCAGCTTTTTGTGAGCTTCTAGCTCTTTGTCTATTGCTATTTTCCATTCTTCTTGTTGTACTGCTTCATTGTAAGTTTTGGGATCGGCGTTGGCCAATAAACAGTAACTCATATACACCTGATAGTCTTTTAAGTGACTAGGTGCTTTCCTAGCTCTTCTTGTTCTGTTTGTATTCTGTGGTAATTCTTCATTCTTCTCTTCTTCATTCTCTTCTTCTTCAGTAATGTTTTCTTTTTCTTCATCTGGTTTATTCTCTTCTCCCAGTTGTTCATTTTTCTTTTCTTCTTGCTGTATTTCTTCATCTATTCTTATTGTTTCTTTTTTCAGTTGATTTTTCCTTTCATCAAACTTTACGTCTCTCACTGAGATAATCTTGTCCGTCGATGGGACCCACACTCTATATCCATTATCGCAATATCCTACCATTCTTCCTTCTACTGCTCTGTTTTCAAATTTTCCTGTTTTTGGTAATATGTATGACCATGTTTTGCATCCGAATACTCTTATTTTTCCTAAATTCACATGACCATACCATCTTTTGGCTGGTATGTCTTCTTTGAGAGCACTTGTAGGAGATCTGTTCAACAGAAATGCAGCTGTCCTTGTTGCTTCTCCCCATAGATTCCTCGGTAGATCATTTCCTGACATCATTGCTCTGGCTTTGTCCAGTAACGTTCTGTTCATCCTCTCGCTTACCCCATTCTGTTGTGGTGTGTAAGGGATGGTACTTTGTATCCTTATTCCTTTAAGATTACAGAAATTTTTTAATTCTACATTTAGGAACTCTTTTCCATTATCACAGCGTATTTTGTACACTTTGTTTCCAAATTGTGCTTTGATTCTTTGTACATAGTTTTTTATATTATTAACTGCTTCATCTTTGCATTTTAACAAGTACACTGTTGTGAAGTGAGTATAATCGTCGATAATTGTCTGAAAGTATCTCTCACCATTGATGGTTGGTGGATTTATTGGTCCACAAAGGTCAGTGTGGAGCAATTCACCAGTCCTGCGTGATCGAGGATATTGACAACTCATAAATGGCACTCTTGTGAACTTACCCTCTGTGCATGTTTCACAATCATTCTCATCCACTGGTAATTCCATTATCTTCATTCCTTTTCTATTCAGGTGACCCATTCTTCTATGCCATAATGATGAATCGTTCTCCGCTCCATATGCTACGTTCCTCTCATTTCTTATTTTGAACGTCATTGTGTATATTTTCCCTTCCTTCTTTGTAACCAAACTCACGTTCTTACCTTTTATTTTTGTTATGTCTTCATCGAAGGTGATGGTGAAGCCTCGTTTTGTCAATTGGTTCACTGACAGCAGATTGTGACTTAAATTTTTTACGATAAGAGCTTCTAAGCATATTCTTTTTCCTTTATATAATAGCAACAGTTTTCCTTTTTTCTTTGCTTTTAATATATCATCATTTGCTGTTCTTATTAAGATTTCTTGAGAAATCATTTCCACGGATTTCATACTTTTCTCTAATTCATCATTTACTAGATGCTCAGTGGCACCCGAGTCGATGACAAATGTCACTGTTTTTTCTTCGCACTTTGTTTCCAAACATATATTATTTTCATTCATTGCTAGAAACGTTATATCATCATTATGTGAAACCATCTTTGCGTGACTTGGTTTGCCTCTTTGACTGAAACGCGTTTTTCCTCCTCTGCTTTCATACTTGTTTTCTCTGTGTTTGTTGGGACACTCATAGCTTTTGTGACCCTTTTTTCCACACCCGAAACATACCAGGAAACTTGTTTCTTTTTCCACGACTGTTGCAGATACATCTTCCCTTTTCAGTTCATATTCTAGCAGTCTAGTCTTCACGAAATCCAAAGTAACACTTGTCGTCATCGTTTCAATAGCAGTGACTACATTGTCGTAACTGGCTGGTACCGTTATTAGCAAATGACACACTTTGTCATCTTCCTCAATTTTTCTTCCTGAGGCTGATTCGAGATCTCTTATCAATGAGTCGAATTTAACGAAATGTTGTTCCAATTTTTCATTTTCTTTTAGCTTTAATGATAATAACTTCTTTTTTATGTATATTTTAGTGAATACACTTTTCCTTTCAAAGACATTCTGTAATGCGTTTATCATATCACTTGCATGTTCTTTGTCTTTCACATATTCTAAGTGCTTATCAGTTATGCACTGTATTATGATGGCTTTAGCTACACTATCATCTTTAGTGTAAGTGGCACCTGTGGGATCAGGATCTTCCACGACTTTTCTTACCCCTCTTTCTTCCAATATTGCCAGCACCCTAAATTTCCAGTTTGAGAAATGTTCTCCATCGAACAGTGGCAAATATTTAGTAGTTGTTTGTAACATTTTTGCTTTCGTGTATTTTTACGATAACGATATAATCTTACTTTTCCTTTTCTGACGCCACGTGGGTACTGGGCCCATAACCTTTGTTGGATTTCTTTATTGTAATTTGTACATCGCACCTCGCTTACAAAAACGCTTCTCCTCTTTTTTCCCGATCGCGCACACCTTTTGTTTCTTCTCACCAATCATACCCACTCATCATTCATACCAACTCATCATTCATACCAACCCAGCAAAAGCTAGATATTTTCACAAAATGAAAGTATTTCGTAGCATAAAAGAATTGTTTTCTATTACATTTATATGTTGCAAACCTCGTAGCTAACCTAATAGAACAACTCGTAACAAATACAGGGTGTTCGGCCACCCCTGGGAAAAATTTTAATCGGAGATTCTAGAGGTTAAAATAAGACGAAAATCAAGAATACCACTATGTTGTTTGAGGCTTCGTTAAAAAGTGGTTCTCACTCAGCATGAGAGCCTCTACTTACTGACGTATCGACAGCTTTACAGTTTTCTGAGCGAGACCCACTATCGCGCGTACGCAGCTGTTCGCTGATTGCCCTTCTACAGGTGGAACTTTAAACATTAATAACTTTTTAACAAATCGGTATTCTTGATTTTTGTCTTATTTTGGCCTCTAGAATCTCCCATTAAAATTGTTCCCAGGGGTGGCCGAACACCCTGTATAATCAGATTACATTTTGTCCAGTATTGACGGTAATATTGTAACTTTAGAGAAACTGATATTAATACCTTGTTATAGAAACAAACTGAAGAAACTGTGATAAAAGGATTACACACGTATAAGTACAAATTCGTTGATAATGTATTGGACAATGGCGCTTTTAATCCGGAGAATAAGTGTTTCTGCCGCGAAGGATATTGCCTGCAACCTGGCTTGATTGACGTCACCGACTGTTATTATGGTAAGACAATCAAAATAATATAATTAAATTTGTTAGAGTGCGTGTAATTGTATACTCTCGATCCGTGCGCCATCTGTAAAAAGTGTGTGTCGAAGAATGCCATGCAGGAAGGAACACGTGGGGAGTTAAACGTAGTATTCTTAGTGTTAAAGTTGGTTTATTGTTTATAATATATATTAGTGTAATAAGGACGTGTAGTATTATTTATCGACCACATCCCCAAGTATCCCAACATAGTAGGAGAACGTGGTTTATGGGGAAAACGTTGATAGGGAAAAGAGGTTATTATTACAAGGAAACACGTGTTTGAAAGAAAAAAGTTGAAAATAAAACCGAATGTGCATCAGAAAAACCTGGATGAATAGTTAAACGTGGTTAACCTTGAAATTTTGTGAAAGACGAGATGTTAAAGTTGGCAAGCGAAGCACGTGGCAGTTATAGGTTAAGCACACGTTTATATGGGTGAAGAGGAATATTTAGAGAATGGACACGAATTATAAATTAAAGAGGTTGTTTTGAGGGGAAAAGAAAGGATTAAAGACAAGAATAAAAAGTTGTTTTTGGAAAGAACTCAGAAAAGTTATAATTTTGAAAAGTGTAATCGACAAGAAAAGGAGATTGAACGAAATCGAGATGGCTACACACGCAAAAATTAAAGATATTGCAATGCCCATTTTTGACGAAGCAAATTTCTCAAGTTGGAAAATCAGATTAATGACGTTGCTAGAATATAAAGAATGCAAAGATCCCACAGTCAGATTAAAAACAGATAAAGAAGATGAAACACAATGGCAAAGAAAGGAGTTGAAAGCCAGAACAATTTTAATAAGCACAATATCAGATAAACAATTAGAGTATGTGGGCGACTGTGAAACAACCCTGGAAATGATGAACAAATTCAATAAAATGTATGCAACTCAATCTACAGCATTACAAATATTATGTAGAGGTAAAATGGAGGAAGTTAAGTTGAAGAATTATGAAACGGTGGAAGAGTTTTTCATAGAATTTGAAAAGGCAGTGAACGAATTCAAATCAGCAGGAGGAATGATAGACGAAGCAGAAAAGCTGAGGTATCTGTTGAAAGCTTTGCCATCAAACTATAGTTATATTGGTGACTTCATTGATGTGATACCTGAAAGCCAACGAACAGTTGATTATGTGAGGTCGAAAATCAAGGAAAAGAACATGAATAGGAATCAAAATGACAGAAGAACTAATGTAAGTACCTTCACAACAAGAACAAGGGGACAATGCTTCAAATGCGGAAAACCTGGACATTTGCAAAGAGATTGTTGGCACAAAGAGCCAAACAAGAATGAGTCATCCAGATGAGTCAAGGAAGAATCCAGATGAGTCAAGGAAGAGGTGACTATCTAAGAAAGCAGAGGAACAACGATTCAAGTGGAGCACAGGTTTGGGCGACTCAATTATTCAACCAAGAAGTAAAAAAGTGCAATGACAATAGTGAGAAGTCAGGTGAGATTAATTGGTTGTTAGATAGTGGTTGTTCTGATCACATTGTGAAAGACTGTAATGTGTTTGATGAGTTTGTAATGTTGAAAAATCCTGTAGAAGTAGAATTACCCGATGGGAAAATTTTGAAAGCTACAAAACTTGGAAATGTTAAAACGTATTTTAAAGTGTATAATAATGAAAAAGAAATTGTTATCAAAAATGTCTATTATGTAAAAGGTATTAAACAGAACATATTAAGTTTCTCAAGAATCACTAAGAACAATTGTACAATATTAGCAAAAGATAACCATGCGAAAATTTTTGATCAAAATAGAGAACTACTAGCCGTAGCGTATAAAACGGATAATCTATATCGGATGAAAAGTTTTATCACAACAAACGAAAATAAAATTTATACGAATGTAACAAAATTAACCGAAAAAGAAAAATGGCATAGAGCATTAGGTCACGTAAATTTTCACTATTTAAGTAAATTGGTAAGAGATAAATTGTTGGTAGGTTTGCCAGATAAAATTGAAAACACAGAAATGAAATGTGCAAATTGCATTCAAAGTAAGATGACAAATGAACCGTTTCAAAATGCGAGAACAAAAACAACGGAAATTTTAGAGTTGATACACACAGATTTAAATGGCCCGCATAACACAATCGGGTACGGTGGTGAGAAATATTTTTTGACATTCATAGATGACTATAGTAAATGTGCTAGGATTTATAGTATTGAAAGTAAAGCAGAAACTGCAGGCTGTTTCATTGACTATGTAAACTTGGTAGAAAATCAATTTAATAAGAAGGTAAAGAAGTTACAATGTGATAATGGTAGAGAGTATATGAACAAAGAAATTTTCAATTTTATTAAATATAAAGGAATACAACTAGTGCCATGCCCACCTTATGTACATGAGCTGAATGGTGTAGCTGAGAGATACAACAGGTCTGCTATGGACATTGGTAGATGTTTAATGAGAGAAGCTAGAATACATAGGAAATATTGGCCTGAAGTAATGAAGACAGTAGCATATTTAAAAAATCGTACTATTGCAAATACAGTGGAGAATAAAACTCCCTATGAAATATTCTTTGGGAAAAAGCCGAACGTCAAACATTTAAAGATTTATGGCAGTCGAGTATTCGTTAGAAGTCCAGAAGCATTAAGAAAAAGCAAGTGGGACAACAAAGCCGAATTAGGTGTATTAGTAGGCTATACTAATAATGGTTATAGAGTCTTGATAAATAACAAAGTAATAAATGCCAGACATGTAACAGTAGTTGAAGAAGATACTAAATTAATCTGCTTAGAAAACCAAGAGGATAGACGGGTTAAAGAACATGATGAAACGGAATCAGAAACTGAAAATCGTGATGAAGGTGGATATAAAAGTGAGGTTGAAGAAAATGAAATCGACGAAGTAAATATAAATCTTACGGATGAGAATGAAAATGAAAGTGAGCAGGATGAACAGTTAACAGTAAGAAGACGATCAACTAGGGATAAAGGTACTATTGATAGATATGGGAATCCAGTAACCCATTTTATATATATAAACTACATGAATGCAAATGTACCAAACACATTCGAAGAGGCGATAGATAGTAATGAATCAAAGAGATGGCAAAAGGCGATGGACGCAGAAATAGCTAGCTTAGGAAAAAACGACACGTGGAAAACTGTTGAAAGACCAAAGGATAAAAGGATTCTTGGTGTTAGATGGATTTATACAAAGAAAAGTGACAATACATATAAAGCGAGATTAGTTGTGAAAGGGTATCAACAAAAAGAATATATTGACAACGTATATTCACCAGTGGGAAAAATGCAAACTTTGAAAATTTTCTTATCATATTGTTGCAAAAATAATTTATTTATAGAGCAAATGGATGTTAAGACGGCGTTTTTAAATGGTCAAGTAAAGTCTGAAGTATATATATGTGAGCCTAAAGGCTATGAAACTGGTGAAAATAAAGTTTGCAAATTACAAAAGGCACTTTATGGGTTAAGAGAAAGTCCCAGAGCATGGTATGATTGTTTTCATAAGTTTGTAGAGAAGATGAACTTTGTAAGAAGTAATTATGATTATTGCCTATATATAAATAATATAAACAAGGATCCAATATATATATTAGTTTTCGTAGATGATTTGTTAATAGGTTGCAACAATAAAAACAACATAAAGGAAACAAAAGCAAGCCTGATGGAAAGATTTTCAATGAAAGACTTAGGAAAAATAGGAAGTTATATAGGTATAGATATAGATTATAGTGATGATAGACGTAAGATGACATTAAGCCAATCAAAATACATTGAATCATTAGTTGCAAAATACAATTTAGAAAATGCCAAGGTATATGATACTCTGATGGAAACAAACTTGAAATTAACGCAAGCTAGTGAAGTAGATGAAAACATAAGATACAGAAATTTGATAGGTGAATTATTGTACATCAGTACAGGCACGCGACCAAATATAGCTTATAGTGTAAATTATCTAAGTAGGTACCAGACTTGTTATAGTGCAACACATTACAAATATGCAATGAGAATTCTGAAGTACTTGTACAAGACCAAAGATTTAAAATTAACTTATTATGACAACTTAACGAATGAGACGTTAGATTGTATGGTAGACTCAGATTACGCAGGTGATAACGTAGACCGAAAATCTACGACAGGGTTTATAATTAGAGTGTATGGGAAATTAGTCTATTGGAGAACACATAAACAGAATACAGTAACTAAATGTTCAACCTTTGCGGAATATACTGCTATGTCAGAAGCAGTGTCAGAGATATTATTTATAAGAAATTTGTTAAATGAATCCTTTAATGTAAAATTCGATAAGGCAGTAAAAATGTACGAAGATAATTCAGGTGCAATAGCGATAGCAAAGTTTGAAAATTTTACGAAAACATCCAAGCATATTGAAGTTCAGTATCATTACATAAATGAGAATTATGAAAAAGGTATAATTAATATTATAAAAATCGATACAAAATTGAATTTGGCAGATATGTTGACAAAAAGCTTAGATAAAACAAAATTTGTGAGAAGTAGGACAGCGCTGAGATTACTTTAATAGATCGAGATTATAAATTTAAGAAGGCGTGTTAGAGTGCGTGTAATTGTATACTCTCGATCCGTGCGCCATCTGTAAAAAGTGTGTGTCGGAGAATGCCATGCAGGAAGGAACACGTGGGGAGTTAAACGTAGTATTCTTAGTGTTAAAGTTGGTTTATTGTTTATAATATATATTAGTGTAATAAGGACGTGTAGTATTATTTATCGACCACATCCCCAAGTATCCCAACAAAATTCAATAGTTAATATTCATGGAATATTGCAACTAGTAATTTGCATTTAAACTTTTATGTTTTTTTCTTTATAGAAGGATTAAAATGTGATAAAAATGGTTAAATTTATTATTGTTGCATCATATTATTACATTAGATTATTCTTGATAAATTTTCTTTTTTATTTATATTACAATTTTAATAAATATAATATTGATTTCATTGAGAATATTTTCAGTTGTAACTCATTTTACTGTTTGCTAAATAGCATTATTCAAAATAGTATGTTCCCGTTTGTATTTGACTAACAATTACAGGTCCATCTTCTAAGAATTTATATTATTATAATTTTAGAGAATCTAATTTATATTTGCTTTATATAAATATATAAAGTATAAGATAATAATATAATGACAAAATTAACCATTCAATTTAATAGTAACATTGAATCTATAAACTTGTTTTTTATCAAAAACACAAAAAACTGAAATACAATATGTCCACTGCAAACCATCGCTATACTGAAACGAAAAAGAAACGTTGATAATGCACGTGCATTGTTCCTCTTTACGTCGTTCATATGATACTCGGCATTGAAATAGAACTCACATCAATGGAAATTATGTACGAGTCAATTATTCTGTGTAGACGGAAAAAATGCTTCGAATAAATTCGATATAGATGACAGTTAAGACATGCGTATACTATAATAGCTTTTATTATCAGCGAACTATGAATAATGCATTCATATCGGCAATAATATGCAGTTATGTGCGCGAAACTAAATTGAAAAAAATTACGACGCGACGGTGTTAATATCGTCGCGATAATTAGTAACGTCGAGAATAGTGAAGAATAGTAAAAATGATGAAAATAAAATTTCGATTACGTATGTTTATCACTTATCTTTCTGATTTTTCCAGGCTTTCCGATAGCTTTATCATATCCACATTTTTATAAAACCGATCCGTCAATCTTGGAAGCAGTAGAGGGTTTGAATCCGAGAGCAGATCTTCACGAGTCCTACGCTTATGTTCAACCGAAATCGGGTCTTCCGGTGAATCTCGCATTCCGTTTTCAAATCAACATGGCGTTGCAAAATATTGGTCACATGGCCAGAGTGGAGAAATTTGAAAACCTTGTTTTGCCGCTCTTGTGGTTCGAAATAGTAAGTATTGTAATATATCGAGTCATATTGAAATACTTATACGTTTAGTATCATACCAAGTTTAGTATTTAATATAGATGTTACGGTAAATAAAATAAAAGCATTTTGTTTCCCACGTTCTGTTCATCGACTGACACTACAACTAAATGAATTTACAGCGTTGACACACATCACAAAGTACTCTACTATTAGGGGGACTGGAAAGTAGTTTACTGATAAATAATTAAATCTTAAATTTTGTTTGTTATTTATGGTGAAATGGCAAGCCAAATACCAAAAGAGATACATATCCGGCATTGTACGCTTTTTAAGTTTCGCAAGGATAGTAACGCAACAGTTGCTACCAAAAATATTTGCGATGTTTATCCTAGTGCATTAGACATTCGTAAATGCCAAAGGTGGTTTTCCAAGTTCAAATCCGAGAATTTGGATCTTTCCGACTCGTATCGGGCAGGAAAACCGACAACATTAGACAATGACATGTAAGAGGCGGAAGTGGAAGCAAATCCGTGTCAGATAATCGAGGAAATGTCAAAGACCCTTAACCAACCTTGGTCGACCATCCAAGAACATTTTCAGCAAATTGGTAAAGTAAGCAGAGCAGGTGTTTAGGCCCCGCATAATCTGCCCGAAGAAAACAAAGCTAACCGGTCCACCACATGCAACTTATTGCTTCAGCAGCACAATACAGAAGCGTTTTTGATCGTTTGATCACTGGAAATGAAAAACGGGTCCTATATGATAACCCAAAATGCAAAAGGCAGTGGCTCTCCCCGAATGAATCGCCGAGAAGTACAGCTAAGCCAGGTTTACACCCCAAAAAGGCGCTTTTATGTGTTTGATGGAGTATTCGCGGGGTCATTCATTTTGAAATGCTGAAACCTGGACAAACTCTGAACACAGACCTTTATTGTGAACAATTGGGTCGTGTAAACCAATCTTTAATTGAAAAGTGCCCAGTGGTTGTCAACAGAAAAGACGTTATTCTGTAACATGATAATGCAAGACCCCACAGTGCAAGACAAACGCTGAAAAAAATTAATGAATTGAGGTGGAAGGTATTACTTTATCCACCATATTCGTCTGATATTGCGTCATCGGATTTTCATCTATTTAGATCACTACAACATTTTCTAAGTGGCAACAAATTTGAAAATTTGGATGATGTCCAAAATGCCATCTCCAGATATTTTGCTCAAAAATCAATTGATTTTTATCGATCCGGCATTGAAAATTTGCACACTAGATGGCAAAAGGTTGTCGATAAAGAGGGTGATTACATCATTGATTAAAAATAAAAACTTGTTAAAAATTTATCTGTTTAAATTTAATGTAAAAAAAACGATATTACTTTCTGGTCCCCCTAATACTTGGCCCTCTATTGTACATTATTAAGTTATGATAAAACAGTTACATAAAAAATGCAATCCATTAAACATCATAATTTTTCTTAGAATTATTATGAAAAAAATATAATTTATTAAATATTATTTTTAGGGGATGTATGAATTACCAACGTCGATGTATTATCGTTTCTGGTTCTATTTAAATGTATTACCAGTTATGCAAGACACACTCATTTACAGTTTAATGATTGTTGGCATCGGAGTTATATTTATCGGTATTCACAAGATCCTTTTGCACCAGCCAAAAGGTTCGACGTCATCCCAACAATGGATGGAATCAGAAATGAGGAACCAGAAACTACAATTTTTAAACAATAGACGTCTTTCGTGTAAGACTAATGAAATGGACACTTACTATAGTTCACTACTTAACTCGAACGATTCAAACGTAATGTCTGACATAACAATGGAATTATCAAATTTTAAGGAAGTCATCGTGTGATCGATAGTATACAAATTGTAGGGAAAAGCTATTTCCGACGGAAAATTGTTTTATGCTCGTAATCAAAAGAACACATCGAACGACTTCGAACATTCAGGAAATTATAATAGTTTCAAACGAGAGATCGAAGTGTTTTCGATAAATCGAAAAGTAATCTTACATTTGACAAGAGCTTATATATTAGATTTATACATATATATCGATATTTTTTAATCTTACGGTAGTTTTGTAAAATTCAGACTGTGTAGAAATTATATTTTGATTACACAATGAAGAATATACTAAAAGTATCAATTGTGTCTAATATAACAGTCATAAAATGTCTTATTATCTATGTAGCTTCAATACAATAACAAATAGCGTAAATATCACCATTCAAAGTGAGTAGTGACACATTTTTTATATTTTCTTATAAACTGAAATTATCTGTCAGTACAAACGGTGCAAATTCGTAACATGTTCTCTATCTATAGATGGATTAGTGTAAAATACGAAAAGGATAAGTCTAATTTCAAATATGTAAAAATTATTGTTTGAAAGTACCCTTTACCTTCATTGCTGCCTAAAATTTATTAAAACTTCCATTCTTTTTTATTGATAGTAATTAAAATTCATGAAATTTATTACGAAAGTAGTGTACCTACTTATTAGAAAAAAATATAAAAGATAAACACGAATGTATGTTACAATTTTATATAAAGGATTAAATATATTAAGACTGATATTATTATAGACTGGTCATAGTGATTAAGTAATGTTTACGAAGCCACAATTGAACTAAATATTTAAGAAAAAGTAAGAAATTATTTTTCAAAACTTGTCAGTTTGGAATTGCACCGTTTGTAATTTTAAAGCATTATCAGCCAAGTCCCGTAAGTAGATAACAAAATATTTTCTTCATTTCGATAATTTAAATGCTTTTTGTATCTATTATATAAAAAACCTTTAAAAACGAATAAGAAATGACAAACTTCGATCAAATTATATTTCGATATATTTAGAATAACAGAAAGAGAAAAAAACTATTTTAGTTGTGACTATGTATTTCATTCAATCATTCATTCATTTGGAATATAATGCATTTTAGTAATAAGTTATCAAAATGTCCTTCAAAGTATTATTAATAAGAAGTATGTTATAAACTTTTCGTAAAACATTATTTCATACATTTCGTCAATATTGTTTTTTATCAACAAAAGCGAGATGAATCATTTTTTTTCAATTTGTTATTAACCAATTAAATAATTAACTTTATCTTATAATAGCATTCATTCTAGTAATACTTAATAATATGAACAACTTTCTTAAAAATATATTTATTTCGAATTATTCGTATCTACTGTAATTTCAAATTACGTAATTACGAAATTTAAAAAATAATAAAAGAAATGTAATGCAATTTGTCTTATTAACATTAATTATATGTATAATTAAAAGAAAGTACGAATAATAGTAAAGATTAAAGTCGCATGCTCTTTTAATGAGCAATTGTCCTAATGCACCAGATATACAATGATTCAACAAAACAATTTAATAAATTGTACCGTTTCATAAAAAAAGCACTTCAATGCTTGTAGCCTTTAGTGCTCAAATTGCATACATTAATATTGAACTTAAAAAATAAAAAAATATAACAAAGGGGAATTTTTATGAGATATATTGAATCATCATATTTAAAATGATAAGTTCTTGTATCATTTTTTATTTCTAAGTAGGTCAATAAATATAAACTTGTCTTAAATATCAATCTTGCCTCACCCGTGGAAATAGTGTATCAACTAAGGAAACAGTATTTTATAGTATGAATATAAACGTATTCCTATGAGTCATATTTTCTTAACGTTTAATTTAACTATAATAGGTTGGGAAAACGCTGTTTAATGTATTACTACACATAATAATTTCTGTTTCCTTTAGTTGTATGTTCAATATATTTTATAAGAATAGAATTATTTAATATCACATATGTACTCATATGTAATGACTGCTATCTTTTTCACTGTAATAAATACTGTAATTCTTGCCAGTGAAATGTTAATGATGCAAGTATTTACAAAAATTGCTCAATAAATAATATTTGTAATACAAATTTATTACCTTAACACTTTTTTATCTTCAGAAACTTAACTCTTCCTCATCCTACGTTTCTTTAATGAAAAAAATAAAGAATTCAATAAAATTGGTATACACAACATATTATTTTTTTTTTAAATCAGGGGTTATTCATTTTGAACATCTAATAATTACGGAGTAAACTACAGTTTTAATACATTATTAAATTCACGAAATATAATACAAAAAATTTAATTAAATAGACCTAATTTTTCGTGTGTAGAAAATATTGTATATGAAATAAATAAAATAGATAATGAAAACAATTTATGATTGCATAGTTATGTAGATATATATACAAATGAATCTTAATTATTATAAGTGACAACCGACTTCGCTAAATATTTCTGATAAATATTAGTTTTGTATCATGTATTTCTTAACAAATTTCTGTATTCCTTCTTTATCTGAAAACAATTATTACTGTACATTGTTTCAATTAGATAATAGGTATAACTTTATTAAGATATACTTTACCGAATATTTTTTGAGCTAGTAGAGTATAGTGCATTTCTCTACAAATTTTTGAAAACGTCATCCTATCAGGTATACGTTTGGATGGATAGTACTTCATTAAGTACGATTTTAAAATTTCTGCAGTCTTAAATTGTGTAGCTTTATCTGCCGGTACCATTACCTTCTTATCCTTTTCACTTGAGTGTTGTTTTGAATGATTTATTTTATGATGTGCCTCTTTCGAAAGCTTTTTTATTTCTGAATGTTCAGTTGCAATATGCTCATCTTTTGACATTTTTTCTTTGTTTCTATTTTTTACACTTGATATATTTTTTTCATTTTTGTTATCTATAGTTTTACGTTTTGTCTGATCGATAATTATTTCGTGCGTATTAACTTTATTGTCGCGATCAGTAATTTCTTTACTATTTTCTATAGGTAATTTATCCTTGTCCACTTTCACCCTTTTACTTGATTCAGTATCAATTACATTATTTCCAAATGAGTCTGTACGTCCTCTTTTATTTTGGCTTCTTGATTGTGCCAAATTCTTCATTAGATTTGTATTATCATTACTTTTATCATTCATTGAAGTTGATTCATCACAAATTGATTCATTCAAAATTTGCTCGTAAACTGTTTTAGTCGCACGAAGTGTTTTTTTAATTTTAGAATCTGTTTTTACAACTCTCTGTGAAGATTTTTGTAATTTCTCATCTAAACTTTCGGATATCATTTTATTTTTTTCATGAAGTTTTCGAGCGCACATGAAACCATTTAATTCAAGAGATTTAACGATCTTACCATTACCATCCCTTATAACATTACTTTTTTCAATATCTATCCTATCACTACAATGAATACTTTTATTAACTTTTGTATTCTCATCGTTCAAAATGCTTATATCAAATGATGAATATTTCATATTACTGTTAGATGAACTTTTTATTATTTTCTCATCATTCCTAAGTTCTAAAGCAGTCTTAAATGTAGGAAAGAAAATATTCTTGTCTGTGATATTTGATTTTTGGGGAGGATCGCAAATGTTTTTATCACAAAACTTATTCAATACACTTTTATTTTGTGCAATTAAGCTATCACTTTCTTTTTGTTTATGTTTAGAAACAGTAGTGTTATCATCCGAATAGACTGATTTTACTCTCTGTTGATTACTTGCGGTATAATCACGTAAGTATTCGTGAACTGTATTAGTGCTAATACACTTCTTCACGGAAGAAATCTTCATTCATTAACAAAGTAAAACTTCAATTAAAATTTTTATATATTTCATAAGTTACTAAATATTTATTTAAACGCTAATGAAATTGCAAAAATATAATAAATTACGTACCAATTTAGACATATCAAATTTATACTTATTTGCAACTTTGGAATGACATAATGCTTTATATTCAAGCTCATATGCTATATTATGTATATCGTTCTCTTGAAGCTGCCCTTTTAACTCCAAAAACATATTTTCATAATTATCTCTTAATGCTAATTTTAACTGAGTATAAAAATGTTCTCGCATTTGGACAGTTAAGCCCTTGATTTTTGTATCTGTACTTTCAGCTGCACATATATTAGATTGCTTTGCATCTTTAAGATTTTGTTTTTTTATCTGAAGTAATATATGGTGACAGAAAGAATGGTATAAGAATGGTATTCATGAATTTAATTTTTATGTACATACCTCATCACTTTTATTATTATTTCTTCGAATAGCAAACTGTTTCTCAATTAATTCTCTGGTTTCCCTTCTACTTTCAGCTAAAAGTCTTTCTCTTGAAACTGGACTTCCTTTACACTCTTCTTCACTATATATGTATGTATGTATGTATAAATAATAACACTTTAATGAAATCTATACAAATTGACATTATTCGTGTATTAAATATTACTTACTCGTTATCATACTTCGGTAGTGCTACACCACTTAAATTAGAACTAGATTTATGTGATCTTCTAGTTTGAAACATTTCAAATTGTGATATCCTTGATTGAACAGCATCTTTGTTCTCGCATACATCACATCTATTTTTACACAGTGGTGGACTATCTCCAAAGTATTTAGAAAACACTGCATGCCTACACCTATTTAAATATACATTACGAAATAATATGTCAAACGTAGATTTATAATGAAAATATCTACAAATTACAATCCTTACTTTGCTTCAAGACAGTATGAAACCGTTTTTTCAAAATTTTTCCATCTTAATTTTACAAGTTCCGAATTTTTCTGCGTAATTTCTTCTTTAATAAGAAATGCGATAGGTCCATATTCTTCATTACTAAAATAAATTCTACAAAAAGCTGGTTTGCCATCTCTACCTGCTCTACCAGACTCTTGATAATATGCTGCTATATTTTGAGGCACTGTCCAATGGACCACAAATCTATATAAAATTGGAAAGTTTGTTTCCAAATAAGCAACAAAAAATATCCATCGAAATAACTGTACAATTTTAGTTAAATACAGTAATTTACCTAACAGATCCTTTATCTACGCCCATTCCAAAACTACATGTAGCCGCAATAACAGGCACTTCACCAGATGTCCATTTATTTTGAATCTCATTACGTTCTTGATTTTTTAAACCTTCAAAAAGAATTATTTATTTTACTATTTTGTTCATTTTATTAGTACCATGGTAGATCAAAATAATATTGACATATACCAGCATGATATGCTAAAGTCCTTATACCAGAATTAGACAATTTATTTGCAATTACTTCGGTTGCTTCCTTTTTTCTACAATAAATAATGCCACAGTTTTTCTTTACCTAAAATAATACCCTTAATGAAATTTTGTGTAAATTAAAAGCTTCACATTTTTTATAAAAGTATATATTCTTAGGTTGTGGATAAAACTATATGTATACAACACTTACTTTTGGAATAAGCTCATCTTGGAAACCAAGAGCTTCTAAAATAAAATTCTTTAAATGTTCAAATGGTTTGTCCAATATTTCTAAAAACCATATATCATAATAAAGATTAGATCGAAATACAGGCACTGAAAATATCAAGGCATTTTTCATATTTAAGCACTGAAGTATATCATCTTTAACCTGTAACAATACACCTCATAATAAACAAATTTTAAATATTCCTTAATACTACATATATGTTTATAAGATATTACCTCCTTTGCAGCAGTAGCAGTTAGAGCAATTATAGGAATATGGGGGCATAATTTTTTAAATGCACCTAACTGTCTGTAACTAGGCCTAAAGTCATGACCCCATTGACTTAAACAATGAGCTTCATCAATAACAAAATAAGATAATGATTTTGCTTTTTTCAATTTTATTACTATATCCTATAGAAAAATGTATTAATTTATTTGAATGTACTATATTCATCACATACATTATTTGAATGTACTACATTCATCACATACATTATTTGAATGTACTACATTATATCAAAATAATTTACTTGAAAATGTGGTTGTGCTCCCATTTCTGGAGTAACATACAATAATTTCACCTTTGGTGAATTAGATGTTAAATCCTTAATTATTGCATTCCTTTCTTTGGTAGATGTATGTGAGTTTAATGAACTTGCATTTATGTTTTTGCTAACTAAAAAATCTATTTGATTCTGTAATAATAAACCACATTTATGTAATTTATTCTATTAACTTTTAAGTACTTTCATTAACACATTCGCTGCCGAGCAACATTTTCAAAAACGGTTCCACCACGTCAACAAATTTTAATTAATTAATTGTAAAATAAAAATACAAAACACATATTTATGGGAAAGATATTGAATTTAGATAATTTTTAATTGCTTTATTAATTGCTTGATTATTTTTACAGTTCCTATGTTATTTACTTTATAATTACTTATATTATACTTATATTAATTATAATAAATCTCTTGAATAGCGCCAAATTGTGTTTTTTTCTAATCCCCAAAGCCAGATACCTTCAAAGAACATGAAAATAATACGAGTTTGATCGTATGTGGCGTAGGTAAAACAAAAACGTTCTACGAATTAACTCGTAACTGGCGTCTAAACACAAACTTCGACCTACGAGATAACTCGTTGTTGGCAGCGAACGTGTTAAATTACATTTTGTACCTTCATCAGAGCTAATAGTGGTGAGAAAACAATTGTAACTTTATGTTCTTTCATTACTGCTGGCAATTGAAAACAAAGTGATTTGCCACCACCAGTTGGCATACATATAAATACATCATTTTTACCTAAATGTATATAATGTCAAAAATTAATTTGTATATAAACAGAAAAATTAATAAAAATTCATATATAATCATAAGCAAATAAGGGGATATGCAATTTGTTATCTAATTAAACCAATATTCAACCTTTATAAACAGCGGTAGTTGCTCGATTTTGAATATCACTTTTGAAATCATCATAACCAAATACAGACTTCAAAACAGTCGACAGCATTTTATTATGCAATAAAATAAACTTTTTTTATTATAAATATTTAAAATACACAATTACAGTTACACTACGTAGAGTAATTGTGTTTACTTTTTGTTGCTAAAAATCACTTCTCAACACGCTATTAACTATCACTCCAAAATCATAAACAATATCGCTGCTAGTAATACGCCGAACCAGTGTGGCCAGATCTGGCATAATTGAGTGCATCGAAATCGACAACAGTGACGACGAACTTCCTTAGCGTCTAATGGAGTGGTGGGGATAGCAGGCATATACTACCGCACGAGCCACGTGTACGTGAGCTCGGCGCTTGCGCACAACTTCGGGAAATCGATAAAGAACGTTAGTGTGAGCCTTTCCTTCTTGCTCTTGTAAAAGACAAAACAACTGAAATACGACCTCGCGATAAGTGGCATACGATTCCAAGCCTCGACTGTCCCAGCATTTTTACTTTCCGACCTATGTAAGGTATAAGGAAATTTATAAAGTATCATAATGAAAAAAAATTTCGAAATTTTTTTTTAGCGGAAATACACGTTTTAGGACCCCCTCATCATATTGTGACTACTACAAAAAAACATATTTTTTTTTTGTTCCTATGCTATTGACATGATTGCATCTAAACGGCTGAACTTCAAGGTTCAGTAAAAAATTGTTATTTCTTTGTAACATTATCATATGTCGTATATTAAAATGTTTTTATTAATGTAATGAAATTACAATATAATGAAAAACTAACTCGTGAATGTATTAATTTTTATTAATATACACACGAGCCATAAAAATGGAAAAATGATATAATTGTTTACATTTCCAAAGGATGGGATGTCGGGATAGGACGTTTGCGATTAAGCTGGCACTTTATGTCGTGCATTGTTGCTCTTACGGTACCGTGACGTAAGTGTAACAAGGCGCGACATTCTACGTCATAGCCACACTATCTACAGCAAGCAATTTCACTAACTAAAAATATACGGCAAAATATAAGCAAATAAATGAAGAAAAAAATGATAGTTAGAGCAAGCAGAATAGTATTTACAGCAAGCGAAATACGTAAAAAAAGTAACAACGCGAGACAAATTGAACGACTATTTACATATTAGCGATGTCCAAAAAAAAATATTTTGGACATCACTAACGAGACTGCGGTTGCAGTGTAAGCGCTTTCGCGTGACGTTATGGCACATACTACATGCATCACACCTTGTTGCGCCTACGTCGCATGAAAACGTTTATACTGTCATTGCAGCCTAATAGTACGAATTTACTATAGAGCTTTTCTCTGGAGAGAAAGATCTCTCTAGAGAAAAGCTCTGTAGTAAATCGGTACCTTAATTTTCGTCATATAACGTAGCGGGAAAATTCTCAAAGTTATTGTCATATGTTGCGTTTAATCTTAAATTACACTTTTGCTTCTTAGCAAATCTATGATATAAATTTTTGGAATACAATAGAGCTAGATGATCGTCATCTACCTCCATGGGTTGAGAGTTTTCCCTCTGCGCCTTTAACGAAGATTTCACAACGCAAATAGAGTTGACGCTGGCCGAAGAAAGTTTATTCCGTTTCTTTGTTTTTATGTCAGGTAACATGGAAAACAATCTTTCTGCATCGCCATTGGAATTTGGAAGTGATCTAATTGTATTTACTAATTTCATCAATTCAGCAAATTTAATTTTATAGTCCAAATTTCGCGTTAATAAAATTGTTTTCCAGAAACCATCGAATTTCATCTCGATAAGCGTCTGTCTACCTTTCGTTGTAAATTCCAAAGGCAATACTGACCATTCTGTTTGCAGTCCTTCTTCGTCGAAACCGCCGAATTTCTTAGCAATTAAGAGAACATTTCTGAAGGAAATGTCTCTATTTGTATCATTTAATATAAAAGTGGGCTCAAAAACATACAACTTGCTAAGAAATTCGTCATCGATTGCCAATTTCATTTGCAGCTGTAATATAAAACATTAAACAATTTTTCTTTACGGTTCCTACGATGTCGGACTTGCCTTCTGCATTCAGTTGATGCAGAAAATTAAGACACTCTGTTCCTAAATTTATACTATTAAATGGGAGTTGATTTTCGACTACAGAAAAATTCATCATTCTTACTAAATCCATGTGTTTCAAAAGCTGCGGTTTCAGAAAATTGCGTAATATATCGCATAAAAGTTCTGCCGCAGTCTTTTGAAGCAAATGAATTCTTGTCTCTTGAGTTTGAAAGAAAATGCTAAATTTATAAAAAAACTCAAGAGTGTAATTTAGAAAATAAAGATATGCTTTGGCCTCTGGATTTTGCATCGAGATTAACAGACGTTCCCCGGACTCTGATTTCTCGCTTATTGTCAATTCTTGCAAAAAAAGCAATACAGAGTCCCAATTCTCTAAAAGTGTAACTACGGATGTATAATGCGATAACCATCGTGTAGAACACAATTTTAAAATTTTTCTGTCGGTTGTTTGAAAACATTGCTGAAATTCGTGGAATATAGCCGAACGTTTGGGACTACTGTATATGAAAGTTGCTACTTTTCGTAACAACTCCTCGCATATGTCTGGAATGGTATTGCACGCTTCGCGCACTACCATTGCAGACAGATGACACGGACAGCGGACAGTCAAAAATTTGTCCCTGCATTTTGTTGCAAGCTTTGTCATAAAGGACGAGTGTCGCCCTGTCATAACAGCAGCGTTGTCACATGACAACGCGACAATATTTTCGAACGGAATTTCTCTTTCTATCATGGCAATTTCAAATGTTTTAAATAAATTATCTGCGCCACAATTTCTGGCATCAAGATGTAATAATTCTACCAATTCCGTTCGAACATCCAAAGTCTCGGGTGCAACATAACGAACAAGAAACGTCATCCATTTCTCGTTGGTCGAGTCGGATGTTTCGTCAATATAAATAGAAAATTTAGTGTTTTATAAAACACTAGAAATACGTTTTGTTTCTAAAGGATACAAAATATATTTCATTTTGCAGAAATGAATTTAGAGGGGAATCAAAAAAAAAGGAAAGAAGAATATAGACGTTCTAATATATGGCATGTGATAATGTTACAAAGAAATAACAATTTTGTACATTTCCCTCCTGATGGAAGTGACCACCACCTTCCCGTGGTTTCCATTGAACGGTAGCGTGCACGTTATTGTTTTACCTATCGTTACAATTATTTTGTTATGTAAAGTTAAGTCAAATATATAACATTTGATTGTGTGTAACAATTTGATACGGTTATTAAAAAACATAGTGGGAAAAGTCAGTAGTAATCTATTTCTGTAGCGTGCACGGTACTGGCTAAGAGTGGTTTTTCATTTTAATTAACCCTTAATTAACCCTTTACGAGTAAGACTGCTTTGAACAACATTATTCTAAAATATTTGTGGAATACGTTTTTTATGTGGTTTAGGTAGGTATGCAAGGCATAAGATTTCGTTTAATTTTTCCTGTCTAGGAAAGATAGGAGAAAAGTATATTTGATCTTAATCCTTCTTAAGATTTATATAAATCGCTTTAAAAATTTGTTACAAATGATGTATATGTATCGAAATAATTATAAAACTACAGACGTATAATCATCATTATATGGGAACTGATCACGCTTAAAATATAATGAGACCTTAAAACGAGAACATAAAACTTAAATGTTAAGTTTCATTGAAATTCATTCAGCCGTTTAGACGCAATCATGTTAATAGCATAGGAACAAAAAAAATATCGTTTTTTTCAATAGTCACAATATGATCAGGGGGTCCCAAAACGCGTATTTCCGCTAAAAAAAAATTTCGAAATTTTTTTTCATTATGATACTTTATAAATTTCCTTATACCTTACATAGGTCGGAAAGTAAAAATGCTGGGGCAGTCGAGACTTGGAATCGTATGCCGATTATCGCGAGGTCGTATTTCAGCTGTTTCTCTTTTACAAGAGCAAGAAGGAAAGGCTCACACTAGCGTTCTTTATCGATTTGCCGAAGTTGTGCGAAGTGCCGAGCTCACGTACACGTGACTCGTGCGGTAGTGTATGCCTGCTATCCCCACCATTCCGTTAGACGCTAAGAAGTTCGTCGTCACTGTTGTCGATTTCGATGCACTCAATTATGCCAGATCTGGCCACACTGCGCCGAACTTCATTCCATAAATGATTGTTGTAACTAAAAATCTTTAATCATATTGGTCATGCTAGCCAACACATTCTGAAATCCTCTACCAATGCTTCCTATCACAATTTCCTAAGAAGATGAAATAAGATTGTAAAACTATTAATTTTTATACCTTATTACAAAATTTATAATTGAAACAAAGTTTAAAAAATTTGTTAATGATTGTAACGTCCGCGTAGCGTACGTTTCCCCACTCTGGACCCTCGTTCCTATATTATGTATAGTTAGTTACCAGATAATAAATAACTAGATTGTGGAAACCGCTCTTAAACATTATCAAATATTATATTCAAGTTCGTTCGAGGATTGACGGTTGTGTCCATCGGTAATTTTGATGTTCGGACGTTAATTATTATATTTAATGTGTTAATCAATTGTCAATTATCCATCGTTAATCACTACGGTTAGTAAAAGTTAGTTAATTAATGTAATAGACTTTAACCGTTTGAGTCCCAAGCTGCGCGATCGCGCTGTTCAGATTTTATGTCGAGAAAACCCAGCACATTTCAATCGTTGTGGACAACTAAGAGTGCATTACTGACTGTCGAAGTCGGATGCTCAAATTTACTCACACAAGTACATCACACAGCTCCTTCTTTTAAAGTAAATAATACATTTCACAATAGGTACAATACTGTAATAATAGTGCAATAATACATTACAAAATAAAATATTTTGTATTTCATTGTTATCTTCTCAATAATTTTTATTGAACAAAACTTGAAATATTTATAAACGTACAGTGCAAAACATAAAATAAACGAAGCGCTATCGCGCCGCTTGGGATTTGTCGACATAAAATAAAAGAAGCGCTATCGCGCTGCTTGGGTCTTCTCGTACTCATTTAGAGAAAGCGCGATTGCGCTGTTTGGGATTCTTCGACAGTGTTTTTTCAATATCCCCTGGGATTCAAACGGTTAAGCACGCGTAGGATTAAGGAATATAGATTTTATACCTTTGAAGCGAGCTATTAACCGAGCGCGATAAACAAATCAAAGAATGTTATCTACATCCGGCGTAGGTGACCGGAGGAGCATGAGAACGTCTCCTGGGCGCGAAGTCTCTGCCGGTGAGTCTACCGGGCATACCTGGTATTGCAGGGAGACCGGAGCGCAGGAGAAGGTCTCCCTCTCCTCTGATTGAGAGTGAATAAAAAGGAGCGTCTCCTCCTTCTGATCTCCTCCTGCGTTTGAAGGGATATTGTATGTATATGAATTAAATGGAATCTTTTAGTACTCTCTTATCCAGTGGGTTATCGAACGTCGAAGCCCGTCCACAACACTTGAAAGAATATTCAAAGACCACGGAATATCCTACTATTCTACCGAACTACTGAGCGTCGAAGCCTACCTGGGAAAATAGTAGCGAATCGCCGTACTTGCAAAATTGAAATGCCTAAGAGAACCCGTCGTTCCGGTTGTCGTCAAGAAATTCGCCGTCGCGCGTTCCTTTTGAATCGGCCGGTACCCGCAAACACGCAATTATGCGACGTTCAGGCTCCGCCAATCGAAATCGAGACTTCCGTTGCCGACCCGCAACGCCGCCACCGTGGCGACTCATCCCAATAGAGATGCCACCCCAACGTCCTGACCTCTCAACATTCCCGAGGGCGATCCACGACGACAGCGCTACGTGGAAATTAACCGAGTAAGTCTAGGGAAATCCTTTTCACCAATGCCGACGGAATCCCGACGTAACAATGATAATAAAAATACGTTAATCTTTGAATAATTAAATAATTTAAAGGATAAAGTTTTTATTCATACTTTTTAGAACTTCAATCAATTTATAATAATATACTGAATAAAATTGATAAAAATATTATTACATACTGACAAGGTTTATTTGTTATAATATTTGCTGTTAAATGAAATTTATATTGAAACACTTTGTTTTAATTAAATTAAACAAACAGTTCTGCTTATTTAAAAACTGCTAGATTATGAAAATGCTTGGTACATAAAATAAAATATAATAATACATTTAACGCTGTGTTGGATTTTGTAACATATATAATAATAAATTGTAACGGTCACTCCAATCGGGAAAAGACGCATCATCTACAGTTTTCTCAATAATTTCCATTACTTTTTGAACTGTTTGACGCATCCTGTAAATACAAGAATAAATATTTGTTCTTCATTTATAAAAAACATTTAATTACTTACCAAGCGTTTAATATTTCGTTAAACTCATCAATTTCTGTTTTTGTCCGTATGCTGACAGCTTTTGATAAATTGAACAATTTAACTATAAGAGACTTATTTTCGTCGTTCATTAATATAGGCATTTGAAATATATCTGAATTTTCTTCAACTTTTAATGATTCAAATTTTTTATAAACAAATTGTAAAATTAAATTTTTGTAACATTCTATTAAAGAGTAAATTGGTATTTGAATCATTGGAAAATAACACTTAATATTCGAAGCCTGAGAGTTATTAATTGGCAGTGAAGCTTCATTAAAACAACTTTTCGTATACCTAAAAAAATTATACAATTTATAAATTAATTAATAACTTTTATTTAAAATTCAATAACTGCCATAATAAGTTTTTATAATATGAAAACAAGCAAACCTATAAACTCCAATATTTCCTTTTAACAAGATTTTTCTTAATGCATTCAGATTCAAGGTATTATAGAATGTATTTAATTCAGTACTTAAATCATCGTTCAACCATGTGTACTCATATCCACCATTCCTCAATGCTATTATGTTTTGTAATTCTAAACATATCTTTTTTTTCGTTTCCATAAGATGTACCGTGGAAAACTTCAAAAGGTTTAATGACAACTGTATATTTTGCAGATACTCCACCTATATTCATTTACAATTAATGTAAAACGTGATCATATTAAAGTAAACTATCATTGTTGAAAAATGTTAACATACAATTTGATCATTAATATCTTGTATTTCTGAAGTTAGTTCACTTAGGTCGAAAGTAAGTGTATTGTTTTCATTCAAATCTTTTCGAATTTTGTCAAGTTCTTCTTGTAAACATCTTTGTTCTGTTTCTAATTTACAAACTTCCAATGATAATACTAACCATTCGCTTGTATCCATGAAATTATTAGAAGCCGTCTAAAATAGCAATTGATTTTAATTTAAAATTATGTTTAATGTTTAAATATAATTACCTCAATATTTTGTATAAATTCAAGAACTCCTTGCTGATAATTATTTGCATTTGCAAGATACAATAACCGTTTTGAAACCATAGAAATATGTTGTCCATGTATATTGACAATACCAACATTTATATTTTTTTCATCTGTATCCAAGGATTCTGCATTTTCTGATACTATTAGCGGATCCACAGTTTCAATCAAATTTTGATGTAAGTGATGCCATAGTGTAGGTACTTCAATATTATCAAGATTATGCGATATTGTATCCCATACCTAAAAATGTAATTTAAACAATGTAATCGACATCACAATTAGTATTATATTTCAAATCTTACCTAAATACGTACTTGTCTTTTATTTGCTCCAGTCCAAAGACTTGTTACTATATCTAACATTTCTGTTATCAATTTAGGATCTAAATTTGTACAAGTGCTTGGCATTAAATGTTGACAAACTAATCTCATCTTGTTGCAGTCACAAAGCTGTGTATTAGTTTGATCATATTTCATTCTGAGCAAATATCTTTTTACTTTTATTTGTGAATGTTCAGTCGATATATCTCGTAATTTTTGTACTAAATAAAATTAATTATTCAATAGATATCTTTTTTTATATTTTTTATAGCAAACATACCTCTTTGTCTAACTGTAAAATCTAGTTGCTCACATTCCTCTTCCAATTTAGATATTTGATTTTTTAAATCATTTTTAATTGATTTCATCTGTGATATATTTTGTATACATTGAATACCTCTATCTGGTGTCCCTTGTTTCAACTGATGTAATAAAACATTTTTTCGTATAATTTTAGTTTCATGACAAGTAAATATAACATCTGCTAAATCATCCCACAAAAATCCAATGAGCCCTTTACATAATCTGTCAAATATATTATACAATTAATAATTAGAATAAATGATTGTAATTTCAACAATATAGTCTATAATGAAAATACACAATTATATTATAGATCCTTTTTATGCAATATATTGTGATAAAATTAACTTTATAATTGATGAAATGTATACTAACATTTTTTTTCCTAAATCATTGTACAATGTTGGTGGGCATTCCAATTTATGTGCCCATGCAAACATGTCTATAGACTCTTCCATGATTATAAAATTTGAAATAACAATCAAATCTGCGATTAATGCATTAATAAGTGTAACCAGTGATGCCAAAAAAGCACCGTCGGGTGCAAACTCACGCATGTCAGATACGCGTACCGGCGTACGTGAGCTCATGGAGTTTCGGAAAGTCGACAAAGGCAAATTGACGCATGCCCTCTTTGTCGATTCTTCGAAGCTGCCCGAAGTAATTTCGGACCGCCTCGTGGGAGTCGAGAGAGAAAGGCTCACATTTGCCTTCTCGCTCTAAACAACTGAAATCCGACCTCCCGTCAACGGCATACGATTTGGATTCTCGAGCCGAGATTCTCGACTGCCCAGGCATTTTTACTTTCCGACCTATGTAGGCGCACATAAGCAAAGTACCCATAATGAAAAAAAAATTTTGTAAAATTTATTTTACGGAAATACACGTTTTAAGACCCCCTGATCATATTTTAATTATTGAAAACAAAGAAATTTTTTTTATTATTCCCATGTATGAGCGCACATATGTATATTATTAATACGATTTTTGAAAATCAAAATAATTTAAGATTGAAAATTAATAAATTAAAATGAGATTCCACTCTTTACCAGTATTGTGCACGCTGTGGCATTTTTCAATAAGAAGAGTTCTTACTTTTATAACATAAACAAAACAGTAGAATTAATAATTGCAGAAATTAATTAATAATGATTTTCCTCGATTGTTTTGAAATAACCGTATCAATTTGTTATGACGAACTAAATAGAACTAACTAGAAACAAAGGAAAAGTGATCCCGTTTGCCAGTTTAATACGAAGTATGGGTTGGATCTTAAATTTTAAAAAGACATAGTCGAATATTTTTAAAGGTACAAAATATAGCGTTTCATTGTAGAACAGTAACATGAGTTAGCAGGTAATGTCATAAAACTATTTTCCCCAGTTATATCCCTTTTTACCTGAAGTATAAGGTAAAAAGTACGAGCTACAAGGTACGACTATCCGAAAATCGTTCACATTTTATCAATGTAAATGAAGCGGCCTTTCCATCAGAGTTAAATACAAAATTTTGCAATTTCTGTGAAAACAGAACGTTCATTAGATGTAGGTGGTTCTTGAAATTGTTATGTTTTTACTGTTTTTATGAAAAGAACCATCCAGATTTATGTACTTCGTACATTGAAAATAACATACGTTAAATGTAATTGGTTAAATTCACTTTAAAAAAAAAAATATTCGAAGGCCAGACAAAAAAATAATGTCACATTTAGTGTACGACTAAAATATGATTGAAAAAATAAAAAAAAAGATTTGTTTTGGCACTGTTCGAACCTGCAGAGCAGAAGAAGCTCGGAACTTGCAGGCAAGCACCTTATCATTCACGCCACGCTGGTTGTTGAATGTATTTCTAGTTCTGAAGATAAGTACCTGTAATAATTTTAATAATATTTCAAAGTAAAACCTAACCCAAAATCGGGTACCATTCCAACTTTTTCTTGTTAGAACCGAGTTTTCAATTTGTCTTAGCGAAAATTGCAATCACATTTTGCACATTATTCTAAAACATTTGTGGTATTCGTTTTCAATGCGATTTAAGTAACCATGTAATGTATAAGATTTCATTTAATTTTTTCTTTTCTAAAGACGATAGAGAAAAAGTTTATATAATTTTTTTTACATAAAATTTAATTCGTTCTAAGATTTATATGAAACATTTAAAAGATTTTTATACATTATGCCTACATATCGGAACAACTATGAAACAAGAGGTACTAATCATTATTATCCATGGACTGATTACACTGTTCAACACGAATTTTGTTTTTCCGTACCCACTATGTGATTTTTGTAGAGCTTTGTACCCTAAACACGAATCTGAAAATGGAATTGCTGTATCACCCTCAGTTTTCGAAAAACACGAGTTTTTCTGAGAACGTACAATTTTGGGCAAAAGCGAGGTATTACGCGAAAATTAAAAACATCAGACAGTTCCAATTAATCTTAAAAGATAGAGGAGAGATTCCTGAATATGCTAATATCGATAATTATAATATTTTGTACTTTTGAACGGTTGTAAATGATCGCCAAAGTTTGAAAAAGTGTCGAAGTACATACTTTATACACAATACTTTTGCATATTTACGAAAAGTTGTTTACCTGACACGAAATCTATACACAGGATCTGATTCTGCAGACATTTCTGAAGAAGAAACTGTCCAACAGAAGTGTAAAAGCTGTTCTCAATTGTCACAGGTCGAGAAAATGTGTATTTGCAACGCGTGCACGACGTTTGACCGCCACGCGGCCATCGCTTGCTTATCTCGGCGCGGCAGTGCCGTAGCTACGCATAATGGATGCAGCACCGATAATATCTTAGGCTCCCAATTCCTGTATATGTACACATGGATTAAATTTCTTTTTTGCATAAAGAAACCCAAATCCTTAATTTATCTATTGCTTTTCTCAAATTTTGTCATAATTCCTGAGTTTATACGGAATGTTAGCAAATAAAATTATTGTGACTGTATATGATTTAGATTCAATACACTTTTTCAAAGATGCTAATGTTTCAAACTGATTAATATTTGAAAACAGCTTTTGATCATCGTTTAGACACATTTTTCTTTAATAAATTCATTCTTTTTAAAAAACAATTCGAGATAAAAAGGCAACATATTCTTCTTAGGTTTAGTGAAGGCGAAGAAGTAACACTTCTTTTTACAAAGTATTCGTTTATATTGTTAATAGGATAGCAGTAGGAGATGCACAGTGATCGAAAGTGTAGCCATAGATAAAGAAAAATAGAATAAAACTTTATTATGAATAGGTGAAATACATTTCGTTCTGCGACAGTCGCATCTGTATGAGAACTCACAACGATCTGACGAACGCACAACAATCAGTAATCGCCGAAACAGAAAAGGGCGTTTGCACGACGTGTGCAAACCACGACGTATGCAAACCCGAACCGTTAAGAGATTCCGTCTCGCAATATAACTCGAATGCTTTCCTATGACAACAGTTTAAAACATAAACATCTCTTGACGCTTTTCCCTAATACTTGATACATTCAGAGAAAAGTCTTCAAGTGCTTTAGGCCCCAGTGTTTCGTTTTGGTTTAGAGAGCTCAGTTTTGCCTTTGAAATCGTTCGGAATAGTCGTGCTAACGAGTTCAGAAAGATTTCATTTCCACTGGATAAATCGTGTTCAGTGAACATATTTGTCATTTATAGTGCACTTGGATGCTTTTTAACATTTTTTGACTATATATGCATATATCGTAGTATAGTATTTTTAGTGTATATAGTGTAGCATAATATAGTATTTAGTTCAGTGTAGTTATAAAATAGTGTTGTGTTACGATTAATTTAATATAGTGTTTTTTAGTGTAACATAGTACAATGTCACGAAAATGCCAGAATGATCCAAACTCTTTTTGCTACGTTTGTGGGGAAGTGGTAGTAAAATCGAGTCGCCGCAAAATAACTTCTAAAATAGAATATGCGTATGAACAATACTTTGGATGTAAACTTGGTGATCAAGATAAATATTGGACACCGTATATTTGTTGTCAACGTTGTGCCTCCGCACTTTTAGCTTGGACAAGAGGAAATAACAGAAGTTTGCCATTCACAATTCCAATGGTATGGAGAGAGTCAAGCGATCATGTTATCGACTGTTACTTTTGTTTATGCAAAATTAGTGGATTTAATAAGAAAGGAAAGAAGAAAATTATATACCCAGATGTATCTTCCGCCACCCGCCCAGTAGTATCTGTATCGGCACCACCACCACTTAGTTCTCATACACGCCAGAATACTCCAGAAGATCAAATCGAAACAACAATTGAAGAAACAGAAGATTATGAAATAGAGTGTGCAGCATCATCGAAAGAACCGCATCTTTTAACTCAATCCGACCTTAACGATCTCGTGCGAGACTTGGATTTATCAAAAAATCAAGCAGAGCTTTTAGCATCTCGTCTACAGGAATGGAATTTGTTGAACAAAGCAACCAAAGTGACGTATTTTAGAGCACGGCAACATAATTTTGAACAATTGTTTCAGATGCATGAAAAGCTTTGTGTTTGCACTGACGTAGATGAATTAATAAATAATCTGGGGTTTAAACATGATCCAAAGGAATGGAGACTATTCATAGACTCATCAAAATACAGTTTAAAAGCAGTTTTGCTCCATATTGGAAACATACATCCATCTATCCCAATTGCATACTCCACAAATATGAAAGAATCACACGAAAGCCTAAAAATAGTTTTGAATAGAATCCAATATAACAAATACAATTGGAATGTGTGTGGGGACCTGAAAGTAATTGCAATATTACTGGGCCTTCAGCTGGGCTATACGAAGCATTGCTGTTTCCTTTGTGAGTGGGACAGTAGGGATAGGAAACAACACTATACGAAAAAAGATTGGTCACCACGACAGCAGTTAATACCAGGCGAAAAAAACGTACAACATTACAACTTAATCGACCCAAAAAAAGTATATTTACCACCACTGTTCCGATACGAGGTTGGTTTCGTATCTCGCGATCGCGTCGCGATATCCCGCACGGTGGTGCCCGTCTTCGAGATGGTAAGTCTCGAAGATACCTTCGATCTTGGTAAACGGTTAGTCGCGACGCGTTGTTTCAAGGAATTAACCTGGAAACAATGTTTCTAAGTTGTTACACAGCATGAACGTTAATGCTGACTAGCTGTACGTTAAGCCTTCGGTCCGAATGCTTGACTCGAAGGGGAACAGTCGAAACGTTAAACGAATGAAAAAGGTACTCGAAGTGAACCGTGTGTCTAGAATAGCAGTGAACATGTTAATGCCTCGAATCGCTGATGGAAAGTGATTAGTCGGCGTTGTTCGAACTTCCTCGCGGCGTTGGAAGTATGGGGAAACACTATGATTGGTGATTTTTGGAAATCAAAAAATCCAATCAACGTGCCCCCTTAGGCATTGCCATCACCCTCTATGCGCCCTTGGCGCGCCTTCTTCTAGGAAAGAGTGGGGCGATACCTGGTTGTACGCGAATGTTTCGAAATCCGACAATGTCGCGGCTTTCCTCTGGGGTTTTCCGCTCGAAGGTCGAAGTCCCGTTT